AGGAAAAAAATAATCAATAAATAATAAGTAGCTTGTAAAATAATTCATTTTTTTTCCCAGCATCTTTTTATTTGAGTGGGTAATATGGTTGTTTTTTAAAGTTTTAAAACCATCTGTTTTTTAATACACAGACTGAAATACTGTGTTTCCTCCAAACTATTCAGGAATGAGTCACCCTGGAGTCTCTTTATAAGGAGGGAGTATTACATAAAAATTAACTGTGTGAGTTGCCTTTACTGGAAAAATTGTTTTACTTCTCAGTCATAAGGAAAATAAAACTGGATGAATGTGTATGCAATTGATAATTCAAATACACCTATAGCTACATATTTTGAGAAACAAGATAATAAATACTAGCTTTAATTTTTTATTTAAAAATAGAATTCAACAAATATAATTTAACAATATCTTATTTGTTCTGATTTTTCTATCTACTATTATAACTATTAAAGTAATATCTAAAGAAAGAAGATTCTTATTAAATTATTGTTATTTTTGAAAACAATATTTTTTCTGTTTTTTAATAAATATTTGCAGAATACTACAAGTTTCTGAATTTCTATGATGAATACATTTGAGAGTTTTCTTTTATTCTAAGAATACTACCACACAATCTTGTGTAGTACACATTGCCACTTAAAAATATTTTATGATAAGGTCCACTTAATTAAATTTTTTAATACATTTTTCTGGTTTTAGGTGCATTGTTTGTCCTCTATTCAAAAAATAAGATAACATTTTACACTGTCAAGGAGTTATTCATGATAACACTTTTGTTGTCAGCTTACAAGGTGCAATTGGGAGAAGCAGAAAGCAAGCGATTTATCTAAAAAGCAAGTGATTTTAACAAAAGAGAGTTTGAGTGAACCAAAACAAAACAAAACAAAAATCAGTTAGGTTTTTATGGTGTCCTATTTATCACATTCCCATTTACTTCTGACCAGACAAAATAATCCTACTGAACACAGTGGGGAACAGAAGAATAGAAGAAAATTATGAGCTTAATTCAACAAACTTTTCTAATTATGGAATAAACTTTATGCTTTAATATAATAGATTTCTGAATTATGAAAGCTAGCATCTTAACAGCAACTGCAAACCGGACAAATTAAATTCTATCAGCATCTTATCATGCTTGATTAAAGTTGCGTGTAACAAGCAAAAAGATAAAAAGAAATATTGTGGTATGACTGAAACAATTGACACAACTGCTTGTTAGCTTCAGTAAGCCAAAGATTTCATCTAACTTTTAGACAATGGGTTATGGCAATCAGCTTACCTTCTGAACATGCATGTAATCTTTTTAGCTACACTTGACTATCATGTGAATGATTCCCCAGGCTCAGTTTCCCATTGCTAGGCATACTACTAAGTTGCTTTAATGAGAAACGATCAATATTGGCTAAATGAATAAAATAAATAAAAAGATAGAAAAATTATAGCAATACATTTTCCTGCAGCTTTAGTTCTATGGACTGTAGCACAGATTACAGAGTCTTTCTGTCTGTAGTGAAAAGCAGATATTGTTCAAATATATGGAATAAATTAAAGTAAATAAATTTGCCTGAGACAGGCTGAGTGTAGAAAACCATAATATCATTAAATCATAAAATAGTTTAGGTTGGAAGGGACTTTTAAAGGTCACCTAGACCAAGTCCCTTCAGATGATAAGGGATATCTTCAACTAGATATGGTGGCAATAGATACCTTATTGCAGTACCTGAAGGGGCCTGCAGGGAAGCTGGGGGGGCTTTTTACAAGGGCCTATAGTGATAGGACAAGGAGTAATGGGTTTATATTGAAAGTGGGGAGGTTTAGATTAGATATCAGGAAGAAGTTCTTCCTGGAGAGGGTGGTGAGGCACTGGAACAGGTTGCCCAGAGAAGATGTGGATGCCCCATCCCTGGAAGTGTTCAAGGCCAGGCTGGATGAGGCTTGGAGCAACCTGGTCTAGTGGAAGGTGTCCCTGCCCATGGCAGGGGGGTTGGAACTAGATGATCTTTAAGGTGCCTTCCAACCTAAACCATTCTATGATTCTACACCCAGAGATCCATCCAACCTGACCCTGAATGCTTCTGGGGATGGGGCACCTACCACTTCTCCAGGCAACCTGTTCCAGTGTTTCACCACTATTGCTGTAGAAAATGTCTTCCATATATCTAGTCTACATCTACCCTCTTTCAGTTTAAACCTGTTACCCCTTGTCCTACTGCAACAGGCCCCACTACAAAGTTTCTCCCCATCTTCATGCCCCCTTTAAGTAATTAAAGGCAGCAGTAAGATCTCCAGGGAGCCTTCTTCTGCAGGCTCAACAAGCCCAACTCTCTCAGCCTGTCCCCACAGGAGAGGTGCTCCAGCTCTCTGAGCATCTTCGTGGCCTCCTCTGGACTCACTCCAACTGGAGTTGGGAGCCCCAATGCTGGATGCAGTACTCCAGGTGTGGTCTCATGAGAGCAGAGTAGAGGGAGAGAACCACTCCCCTTGACGTGTTGGCCATGCTTCTCTTGGTACAGCCAAGGATATGGTTGGCTTTCTGGGCTGTAAGCACATTATCATTGTAGATATATAGGGATCTATATTCAGTGTTATTCAACATTGTGACTCTGGATGTGAACAACCTATTGCCAACAACCTATCTCCTTTCTAAAGGAGAAATCTAATCGTTAACAACAGGTAATTTGCATCCCATCCAATACCACAATAGTCCTGCACTACTAATTTTGTCACTGGCTTTAGGTACTGGGCTCTAAGTGAAAACAGACATATGCACTGACCAATGATTGGAAGAGTTTGGAGTAGATCTAAATCAAAAGCAGTGTGTCATGAACCAGCCAAAATACTTTTTTTTTCTTCAAATCTATGACATCTGGACTGTGATTTCCTTAAACATCAACAAACACCACTGTCCTTGCCAAAATCATAGAATATATTTTGATCCATATGATACACAAAAAAAAAAGATAAAGATACAAAAATCCAAGTATTATGATGATTAAAAAGCAAACTGAACTTGCCTCTTTGTCCCCCTGCTGAAACTGTTACAGATCGTTAAAATATGAATGTATGCTTTTCTTTAAAAGAAGCTGAGCAAGCTGGAACATCGTCTCTAGAAGAATTTATTATACAGTCCATGAAATCCTTAAGTTTTAAGTATTTATGTAATGACAGAATATGCTTTCAGTCAGGAGTTAATCATATGTAGTTGAGCCTGTAAAACTCAATACCATTAAGGAAGGGCTTGCTATAGTAAGGAATAACACACTATTTAGAACAGAAAGAAAAAGCACTGCAGCCACATGGATTTGCATTTTATTTATTTTCCATTTCTGCAATATTTCCACTTTTCTGTCTTCCCATAAAATTCTAAAGAGTCATTTGTCCAATCACAACTAGCTTGTCTGCTAAGAATGAAAATCACAGTAGGCAGGTGTGATGCTGTGAGAGTATTTTCTACTTCTATGTCACAGAAAAAAACTCCACAGGCAATAATGATGTGACCCCATTGTACACAGGCTTTACAAGCATTAGCACAATTCATGTGCTCAGAATCTTTCTCTCTATCTATTTTCTACACAGATATGAGTTAACTATAGCTGTATATATGTGTGCATGCAAATAAATACTGTACCAGGCCTGGCTACCATAGAATTAATTTTTTCATGGCAGCTCATATGATGCTGTGTTTTACATTTGTGCTGGATTCTGGTGAACAGTGCTTTTGCAACATCAAGGTCATCTCTGTTTCTCACTCTGTCCTGCCAGTGAATAAGTTGGGAGTGTGCAATATGTTGGGAGGGGACAGAACCTGTCAGATAACCTGAACTAACCAAACAGATATTCCATAAAATCATGCTCAGCATCAAAAGGGAAAACAGGGAGTTTAGGCACGTTATCCATCTTTTGCTTGGTAACTGTCTATGCATCAGTCTGCCTGTGGGAGGTGGTGAGTGAGTGCATTTGCATCACTTCTTTTCTCTCTTCTTCCCCTTACCATTCACTTACTAAACAATCTTGGACTCTAAGCTGTCTTGCTTTTATTATTCCTTTCTTCTTCCCCCTATCCCACTAGGGGCAGAAGGAAATTGAATTAAAAGCTGTGTGATGCTTAAGTGCCCACCAGGATTAACCCAGAACATATACATGTTTACAAAAACATATAAGCTTATATACATATATATGAAAACATAACCAACTCATCTAAATTAAGACCCTAGAATTAGGGGACATGAATCTCCCTCACTGCAGTTAGATGAGAATTCAGTAAGTTATTAATTTCTGTAAACTTGTTCAGATCCTGCAATGGGGCTCAACAGTTTTCAGTAAAATTATTTTAGCATTTTAGAAACATGCACGAATTAACGATGATTTATTGTCACTAATGGAGGGGGAAAAAACAAATGAACAAACAAACAAAAAAACACCAAACCAAACACAAAACAATGAAGATGAATAAAAAAGCCAAGTAGAAAGCCACAAAAAGTTCACATGTTCAAACAGTGAATAGATGTATTGGAAGATTCAGGTACAGAATGTGCATTATCTGTTATCTTTTCATTTCCTGTCAATTTTCACCTAAGTCTAGACTGCAAAAATATAACATATGAATTACAAAAATTTTCACCTGAATATTTAAAATAACTCATACTATATTTTTAAATCCTCATTCACTATATAAAGTATAACAAGATTACATAAATTGGAAAAACGTCAGTAAATATTAACAGTATTGTCCAGTAGCAGAACACCTTAATGGGATGGAAAGGGATATCAGCTATGTCACCTTTCGCAAATGACATCATCCTCAGCTATTTACATCAGTACAATAAAAATTCCAATTCCACACAATTTCAGTTGGAAAAAAGTTCAACCTACAGGGTAAACAATCCACGGATTTAACAAATTTATATAGTATACGGCTAACATATTTTAAAATTAAAAAAAAAAAAAAAAAATTGAATTCCTTTTTAACCATGAAGTTCATTATGCTAGTTCCTTCTTACCTTGGTAAGTCAACTTAAAGCCTTGCCGGTTTTCTGAGTGATCACTGTAAAAATGGACAAGTGTTTCATGAGTAGTACTTAGCAAGGGTGATGGGAGTTCCGTTCCACTAAACTGGCCAATCATAGAGCTGGTGTGGTAAGGCCCATTTTGAATTTCAAGGAAATCATGATTTGCTTCAGTAGAGAAATTCAGAAACTGAATGTGTACACCTGCAGCATTGAGAAAGACAGAAAAAAATAATTTTTAATATCTGATGTTGCTTAATGCTACAGCATGCAAATACAAAAAAAAATGTTATTGTTATATTGTTATAGGCACTGTATTTTATTCACCATTCAAAGTGGCATGCTTAAATTAAGGAAACAGTTGCTGAGTACTGCAAGGGTTGAAGTTTCTAATTTTCTTGTTCTCAATAAGTATTGTAACTGCACATGAAGGGACCAACAAAAGGAAGTCAAACATCAGATATTTCTCAGGCTCCTAAACCAGGCAACAGAAACACTCAAAGGAGAGGCACTACACAAATGCTACTGTGTCATGGCATGGCCAAAACTCTGCCAAAAGATCATTGCTGTAGCTGGGCCAGGGCCCTCACAGAGGCTCAGGATGATCTCAGCACCCAGAAAGGTTACTAAGAGCCACCATTCAGAGGCAGAAATTTATCTACCTAGTTCCAAATATCTACTCTGCCACAGTTTTCCTGACTCAGGTAACCTACATTTGCCTTCTCTTCCTCCTAGCTTGGGCCAGTGTGTCTTTAAAGCCATTCTACCCTGTCTGCAGCACTGTAAGATGCGCTGAAATCCAGACCGGTGACAAGTGCTTACTCAGGATCTTTTACCACATTCTCCTTTTGGGAAATCAGGTGACTGAACCAGGCCTTTCTCACAAAATAAACAACAAAGATATAACTTCCAAAATTCTGAACAGTTGCAAGTATAAGCATAATGTCATGGGAAGAGCCAGTTTTAAGTTCTGGCACAACTTCATGTGGACTAAGGACTTGGAATTCAAGCTTCTCAAATTATTCTCAAAAGCGGGCTGGGGGATGAACCCCTGATTCATAAACCAGGTAGTACCAAGTAACTTGCAACCACACAGTTTGGGTCTAACCTTGCTCTGGTAGAGTATGAAGAACCAGCTGGAATAGAATAAAACAGAGCGACTGAATAAGCCAACAAAGCAGTGTGACATATCTAATGTCCTAACTCTCTGACATTCTTGTTTAGCAGTAGAGACATAATCTTCATTCCAGAAGAGTACCTAATCGATTAATCACCAGGGTAAGTCATTGATTCAGTCTTGCTCTATAGCTTGTTTCTCTGTCTCTGTGGTTTGATATCTAATCACTGGTATGAGAGGGATATTTTTTCTACAGGAAAAACAGCTACCAAATAAACTGATTGTTACAGATCACTCATGAGAATATGGTATATTTAGCTCTAATACCTTCTCTGACCTATGCAGATGAGAGATATAAAAAACCAATTATTTCAGCTGCTGAATAAGAAAACTTATTCCAATACTATCAATAGAGAGGCATATACAGAACATACAGATGCCTCAGTATCAGCCATCTCTTGTATGAAGTCTGATACGGTTAGTCTGACTTAAGTGAAGTCATTAATTTTACAATGCTCTCAGGATTTAAGATGAGGTAAGACAAAACAGCTTGGAAACATCTTGACTTCAGTACCAGCAATTAGTGATACCCACCAGAGACCAGATGTCAACAGCACAGAAATTCTAAAGAATTGCACAGCCACTTAATATTATACTTAAGTTGATAAAGTGACTGATAATTGAATTTGACATATGTAATTAGACCAAAAATCAGTGTTTAGGTATTTAAGTAAAAGTACCCTACTGTTCTGAAATAATCTATGAGCCATGGAGTACCTATAAAATTGAATCACTCCTATTTAATTAATGAGAAAGAATTTATACAGGTAGTTGTAAATATTGACTATAAAAAAGCTTTGTATTTTAAAAGTAAAAAGTAGATATACCAGAAACTTAAAAAAAAATTAAATAAAATAGACAAATTTTAAGCACAAACTCAAACATATTTTTTTTCTGAAGGTTATCAAGTACGTTAATTTCAATTAGAGAATACACTGTATGTGTCACTTAAGCCTTAACTCTAAGTTTATACAACTTACAATTGTCAATTTGATATGTCAAAGAAAACGTTTTCTATACTCAATAATTTCTTACATAAAATTATACAAATAAAGATGAAAATAAATCTACAGAAAATAAATCATTATCCAATCAAACCATAATTACACTACTTCCTGCTCCAATCTCAACAGGACTTCCTCTCTCACTTGAATAGACTAAAGAATTCCAAGCTGAGTTAATATCTTTTTACAAATGTTAATCAATTAACAGCTACCCGAAATCACTGTAAAATCATTGCAACTCACTTGACAAGATGTACTGTCCAACTATTTAAAATGTTTGGATTTTAGTAGTGTCTTTTCTCAATCAGTCTATTTTCGTGTATTGAAGAGAGCACTACACTTTGAGACACATTTAGCTCCCACAATTTTATTATCACTTTGTTTAAGCACACTTGTGTGCTTGCACGAAGTCAATAATATCATCCACTTCATTCAGATACAAAATTTGAATAAATGGGTGGAAATAAAGGAATACTTACTGAGGGATTAAGTCATTGTGAGGTTATTTCTTTCAGTGGCATTTGTATCAATCATTACGTGTTCATGAGTGTCCTCTTGTTCAGTTTCTGTACACAATGCTAATCTCTAACTCATTCAATAACACATTCAAATGTTTCCAAAAAATACCGGAAAATTAATAATTTTTTGAAAAAATGTCTATATTCAGTGATTTCATATATTTATTTTCATAAAATAGCATGAATGAAGAAAAACAGCTCTTATGTAGACAACCTTATACTTTTAAATAAAATAATATAATATCCAAGATTTTGCAGTGGAAGTTCTCTGTGAAATATCACATCAATCACAATGTTTAAACCTGGTATAAAGACATCATCTGTGGATTATTTGACAAAGACTGAGGAAAAAGATACCTGTAGCAACTCAATGATAAAAAAATGTCCTCTTGTTGTGTTTTTGAAAGAAATGATAGGTTAATGGTATGAACACCTTGTACTTGTTAAATCCCTTGCTAAACAAAGCCAAAATCTTTTCTATTTATGGGATTAGCACTACGGGAGACTTTCTGACAAGTGAGAGGGATGATAATAGGATACATGACACTTGTGTAATTAATTCATGAAACACTGTCTACATGGAAGGCTTAAAAAAAAGAGAGCAACTTTGAGAAATATGAAGGAATGTTTTTAAAAGGCAGTATTGTAGTAATATATGATGGTATCACTCTAGAAGAGTAGCTTATCATTGGTATTTTCTGCAAATATAGCTGTAGAATGTCAAAATTAGCCAAGGATGTCCTGCCTTTGGTTGTCCTAAGGAGACACAGATATCTAAGGTTACTAAGGCTATCCATAACTATGGTGGATCAGTTTTACGAGGTAGGCACTGATAAAGGGTAATATTCAAAATAGCATAGTATTTCTATAAATTAACTTAGTAAAATACACCCTAAGTAGTATATTTTAATACAAAAATTTCTCTTATTATACATTATTATCTCCTCAAGCTAATTATTATTTATTTGTGAAGATATTTTCTGTATGACACTTGTTTTAATGCAAACCTAGAAAGTTTCTAAGTTGGCAACTGTTATCTGGATTTTGTAATACAGTTTTAAAATATTTTTAACCAAATTCATATGAAGGTTCGTCCATTTGCAGGGAACATAAGAAATACTGTTAGAAAATCAGTTGGGAAGACAGTGAAAGGACATTAAAGAGAAGACCACTAATTAATTTGGAACTACATTATCTATTTCATCTGACATATCTACATTCAGCAGATTTCATTTTCTCCAAAGTCTGTTTCTGAGACAGACTAAGTTTCACAAATCATAAGCTGCTTTGACAAAGACATATTTTTAAATTGCCAATCATTTTCAAATCAAAAGATAACACATAATTATGTAAAGTGATCATAATATGTTCATTGGATTTCATACTGGAAATTAGAATATTCTTATATATATATAAATCTGATTATTATAAATAATTGCTCTTCCAATGAAAGTTTACTTACCATATCCAATAGGCAATAAAATTTTCCATGTACAATCTAAGTTACTAGGGTAATTTCCAGGAAAACCTGGGCTCAGGATCACACCACCCATGTTTGTCAGCGTTCCACCACATTTAGCTATTAAAAATAAAAAGAAAGTCACTGTATCTTTTATTAATACTATTTCTTAATATTTGGCATATGGTTAATTCAAAAACGGGTTTTCTTTTTTAGCCCAAGATGCCCAAGTAGTGATATTTATCACAGTGAAAACATTCCTCATGAAAAAAAAAAAGAAAAATATTCTGAGTTAGAGCAAACTGCTTACTTAATGCAATATGTTTCCTGTGGTCTTACTGCAAAAGTATAGTTGCACATAAAGTTCCATTGTCTCAAGTTGCCAATTATGGTTAAAAATGTCTGATGCTATGTTCGGCACGGATACAGAATGCAGCTGCAGATCTACTAATTAATATAGCTAAAATCACATTTGAGTATAAAAGCAAACACACCACAGTTTGTTCTTAAATTCAGGATGAGGATAGACTCGCCACGTAACAGAATTCTTACAATTTCCTTACTATCTGTGTGTTAAATTAAAATCCCATAATTTATATTTATTATTTGAGTAATCATTACTTTAAAGCCAATGAGTCTTCATGGCAGGTATTCACAGAATCACAGAGTGGTAGGGGTTGGAAGGGACCTCTAGAGATCATCTAGTCCAACCCCGCTGCCAGAGCAGGATCACCTAGAGTAGATCACACAGGAATAAGTCCAGGCGGCTTTTGAAAGTCTCCAGCGTTGTGATAATTGTACTGAAAAAATGAAAATAATCTACTAGGTAGACTACACAAGAAATTTAAACAAATTAGGAGGAACTCTACTGAAGAGCTAAGAAATCAGTCTCAAATTTCTCAAATATCTCTACCTCCTTGCAACGTTAAAAGCATTATTTATTGAAAAGAACAGATTTTGGGTTGTGTTTATAGAAAAATCAAGACTTTGGTTAGAAGCAGTGGAGGAGGTGTGTCATGTTTTAAGGGTTTGTTTGTTTTGTTGAGATTATTTTAGCTTCCAGGAGAGCAAAATCTAATGAACTAAAGGGACAGAAAAAGAAAGAAAAAAAAAAAACCCACACCAAAACAACAACCAAGAAAAATCAGTTAGCACACACTGTTTACAAATAGGAACTATATTTAATACACAAGGTGAAATGTAAGATTACACAAAAAAAACTGAACAAACCCTCAAAAATAATCTTTCCTAAATAAATTTTCCATTTTTAAAATTGATTTGAAGGAACTGCACTGCTTTAATATTAATCAGAATTGACTGTTTCTGTGGAAGTTGACAGTAAAAGAAAATATATAGGCCCAACTTGACAAAATCTTTAAAATCATTTCACATTAATATTGCTCAATATTATCCCAATCTTTTAAATCCCTCTTTTATATGAAGCTAAAAGGAACAGCTTTTGATGACTATTAAAGTTAAAAGCATTCACTGAAGAATGAATTTCAAAGCTGAAGTGACAGAACGTTATGATGGAGCTGTGCTCCTCTCCCCTCCATTCCTACTTTTTTCTTGAAAGAAACATGCAGAAAGACACCAGAATCTTGACTCTCTTAAACTGTGTTTAATCAAGAAATAATACATCAGAACAAGATTATTATCTCCACAGGTTAAACTCAGATCTGTTGGGTAAGGTCTTAGTGTGATTAAAAGGAAAACTCTTTTTAGCTTTGCTTTTGAACTCGGCATGATTTAACGGCTTTCTCAGATTAAAAGAGTCAGTCTTTTTTTGGATCTCTAAAACTCTTTTTCATTCTACCACCCCTGAAGGCTTGGCTTCAGAACTGCTCTCCATTGCAGACAGACTACCTGCTTCTTTGAGAAGTCTTCTAGGCTCACTGCATGACCTGTCATGTTCTTGAGAAGGTTTTCCAAGCTAAGCATGCTACAAAATGAGTGTGTTAACTTCCCCTCCCTTCTGAAGAAGATTCAGCCTGACTTAAAGCAGGCTATTCAGGACAAGCTAAACAATGGTATACATCTGGGTTTCCTCCTTTCCCCACTCTCACATTATTTTCTTTTTTAAAATAGCACATACAACATATACAAAGAAAAAATATTATTGTAATTCTTCTGTATTTTATAGAAACAAATGGAAAAATCAAAAATTTTTGAATGAAATAGAATTAAATGAAGGAACAATAGGCATGACAAAGCCAGGAGTTTCTTCTGACTGATGCTCAGAACACACTGAAAACAAGTAAGTATCCATACCAATGCAGAGAGGAGATGGATAGTTCCAGCGTCGAACTGTTCCTGGCATACAAGAAATATGAGAACGGCCCTGTTTGGAAAGGGCAAAATACTAGATTAGAGATACTCATTATGGGATTTTCCAGGAAGGCAGAGCTAGAGAAGACCTCCTGTATCATCTTATTTTTGTCATTTTTATATCAACCAACTATATAATTACTTTTATTAATCTCTTAAACTCTATTTCCAAATACTTCAGGGTTTATGTTCAATTTTTCTACTGGATAAATGTTCTAAAACACCCTTCCTTTGATAACTTCAAAACCTCTTCACATTTGTAGCTGAATTATAAGGCTGCTTACAAAACACAAGCAGCAGACTACACGCATTCATATGGTCAAACTTCAATTACAGAGTTCTTATGCACAGTGTAAGCATATTAGTTCATTTTCAGGCTGCAATCTGGAGTGAATCAACTATTTCTCTGAATGAACAGCACAGACACAGAGAGGAATTATGTTCCACATCTGCTTGCTACAGATGGTATGGACATGGACCATGCCAAGACAGTCATCCACAATTAACAGCAGGCCCTGAACTCTCACACGGCATCACAACTTGACCCACTTCATACATGCAGCATCTTTGCAGACAGCTATGAAAGTACAAATGCCTCTTTACGTAGCTGTCATGTTTAATTTACTCTGCCTATTTTTAAAATATGTCACAAGAACTAGGCAGTCATGTGGTAGCTAGAAGTGAAAAATGACATGACTGTAACCTGCAAAGCCTATTTCCACATAATTCAGTGTGCTTGCCCAAGACCAACTGAAAAATGCTCCTAGTTTTGCTTGCACTTGTAACAGCTCAAGCTGAAAGTCAAACAAATGCATTTTTGTCAATTCTGTCCACTGAGGAAGTCAGGATATGCATTCTGGTGTTGGAATGTGAAAGCTGAATCAACTGGCAGGAGTCTGATATGAAGACTGAGACACAGGACTGAGAGCAAGGTATAGCTCCTGGTTTGATCACCTGGATATACAAACTTGGGCAAGCCACTTGACTTCTCTTGTTTATTTTTATCAAGTGTATTAGAAGTCTAATATTTAGTAAGGTAGCACATATCAATATAATATGAATATTTATTTAAATATTATTTGCCCATACCAATCAAATTCTCATGAAAATAATAATAAAAAATGATAGAATAAGAAAACTACAGTGAAGGAAAATCTATTTGACGAAATTACTTCTGCATTATTTTCAATGTTTACAAAAAAGAAATGACACACACAATGTTGAATAAAGTTCATATAGAATTTTATGGAATTGTATGTAATAAAATGACTTTAATCATTATTTAAGCATATTTAGACAATGAGCTTCTGAAAAGCAGAGAAGCATTTCCAATAAATGGCTTGGAAGGAAAAAAATACCAGTTTTGATTCAAATTAAGAAAAATTAAATTACTGGTTTTCTTCTAAAAATACTAACAATTTATAACAATTCAATAAAGTATTTTTTTAAAGCAGCCTTTTTATCTTAAAAGGAAATATATGCATGCATTTAGTGTGTCATCTTAGTTACTTGCAAAATGGATGAGGTTTTGAATAATTTACTTAATGCAATATTCCCTGTTTTATTTTACTCTTTCTTCCTAGTCTTCTATGATTGCATGTCTCTGATGTGAGTCAGGGGGAAGCCATAATTTAACTACCACAGTCAGGAAAAAAAAGTAAAATGGCTAATAAAAGATCTTTTGAAAAATAAAATGAAATGATTCCTCTGGCTTCAAGCCTCTTCCCAACAAGAGCACACTCTGATTTCAGTCTTTTAAAGTCCCCTCCTGGGGGGAGACACTTAATCCTACAGCTAGCAATTACCTTTCTTATGCATCTCCAGGTAGTACTTTGAGCTCTATGACTTTTCTGGTAAGTCTCAATTATAAACTAATCCACACCTGATTGTTATTGCTAGCTGTGAATATGTTCTCTAAAGACTAAGGGTAAATTCACAGCTAGAGTGGGAAAAGAAAAAAAAAAAAGGATCTGCAAAGTTATGCTGATCTATACTTGTCGAACAGCAAACATACTATGCCTGGAAGAACTTTACTTGCATATTTATTTCTTTTTAATTTTGGGCCATATTTACTTGTCCTGTCTGAGCAACATAGTATATGTACATTTGTATGCATTTTCTTACAGCAGAGTCCACACAGCATAAAAATCCTCATTAAAATTTTGAAAATAATTAAACTCCTTTCTATTGAATTTGTGTAATAAAGATCTTTTGTTTTACACTTTAGACTAGATCATGAAACTAGTTTTTATATGTCATACTCCAAAGTTAGGATTAAGTCTATGTTTGTATAGAAATAAAGGTTAATAGAGTTAAGGTACAAAATGCTATAAAATTTTAAGAAAGTATTTCATTACAGAATGCCTGAAAGTATAAAATCCAAAGTGTAGCTAGCCATATTCAAGGACTACAGAAAAGACCTGCATACAGACAAAAGTCATGGTGTGGTGTTGTGACAGTGACACAGTGTATTAAAGTTAGATCAGTTTCTTATGTGCAGATCTCTTCCTCACAAATACATGATTGTTTTATACTACTGTTGTATTAATGAATTCACATTTCTGATCTTTTTCTAAGTAAAACTATGATCTGAAACATCAAGTCCAGGCTAACAATGTGTATCTTCAAAAGATTTCCTGTACTCATTCCAACCATTTCTGAAGTTCATGTTCAACTGTTATCACTCCACCACAGCAGTACTGTTTTAAGTATGGACAGAATATTCAATGATATTGTATATGGAGTTTTTTTCTGTTTCTAATCTATGTCATAAAAATGGAATCAGCACTAATTTTCATATGCAAAATTCAAATGTTTCATAGTTGAAAATGTAGCGAGAGAAGGGCAGGCAATATGATGGGCAATACATGTAGGATTTACCCCACCAAACATAAACTGCCTAAATTTAGATACCCATGTTAACCTTTTAATATCCTATTAAGTGCAGAAAGATGATATTTTTGGAGTAAGACACCTGACCTAACAAAAAGTTTTAGTATGAATCAGCCCTTGGATGTGTGTGGCTGTTTAGTGTCACAATGAGATTAGATGGCTGACTTTTAGATGGAATAAATCGGATTAGATGTTATTCCATCGCCAGAGGAAGCAATTAGCATAGGGTAAATTTTCATTTTTTTTCTAGCACATCACTGCTAGAAGCTTACCTAACAATCAGATTTTCACCTATCTTGGTCTTAAGGACTCAGAAGCAGTGGCCTGATCACAGCAATGAGGTGCTAAGCACCTATTGGCAATTATATGGACAGTTATAAGACAGTCCTACCAGCACCATCATCAGATCCTCATCCTTTCACCATAGAGTGGAACTGAATGAAAGTACATAAAAGAATCCCACACAGTTTTCTACAAATATTGAAAATAGGAATGACACATTATCCTCTTTAAATGGAAGTCAGATTTTAGTTTGGAGTCAAGCTTTACTGGCAGACAGTCATTTGAAGGGACTGTATCATAAAAATATGACATCAAATTTCTCATTTTCTTACTGACATCACTGCTACCTATGAAGGATAGCATAAAAAAAAAAAAAAATAGGGAAAATAAAGTTAATATAGTCCAAAAGTTAAAGTTCTTAAACCAGTATGTATTTTCAAAACAGTATTAAACTTCCATTTGCTGGAAAGAGAAAACCGTAGTTTACATATAAACCATCACCTGGCTTGTAACCATTAAATGATCAGTGAGTACTTAGGATGTGTAGAGTAGGCTTTATTGTGTATAAGTCTCGAATCTTTTCTAATTCGTAGGATACGAATATGACAGAAACTTTTTTGCTATGGATGTGGTATACTTCTGATACAGGCTGTTTCAAGTCATGCTATAAATGTAAATAACATGGATTAAGTTAAAGACTTGACCCTGTGTCTGTAATACATGACTGAAAAGGTAAGCATAATGCTGATTACCTTGAGACTTTTCAATTGCAGGTGTTCCCACAGCCAGCCTACAGCTAAGATGTTTAGTCTGAATCCTGTCTGAATTTTAGGCCAATGTTAAGGAATATTGAGATGAAAGAATAAATCTATATATGCTGGCAGAGCAATGAATTAGCAAATATCAGATAGGGGGCCATGACTTTATACTTCTCTAGAGCAGAAGTTGTGATACTCTGATAGAGTGGTATGCTTTTATATTGTCTTGAGTGGGACAAAAGATTTTGAACTCAATGTTTACAATTAATTGCACCAGTAGTGGACTATGTATAAATGAATTAAGGAACTAATGAAGAAAGAAAAAAGATTTCAGTCTTAGATTTACGAAGTGCTGTGGCATTTACAAAGACCTGCTTGATAACATGTATTCCAAGGGAAACTAAAGTAGGGTGGGAACAGTGAACATCACAGTCTGTGAACAAATTTGTAATGTTTCTTTCCTTGAAAGAGTGATAAGAAAAAAATCTAGCATTAATAAAATTTGCTTTATAAACTAAACTCCACAATTTCTGAGCAGAATTCAAAATCCCATGATGTACCTACCACTGTGCTTAAAATTTCACCTAGAGAAACCACTTCTAAAATGGAAAAACGCAATATGATTTCCATGAGCATAGTACTAAAATAATTTCCTAGAGAAAACATTTTAACCATTATTTTCTTGTGCATTTTTGTGTTTTTTACTGCTCGATGGTATGGTAATGTAAGATTTGCCAGCCCAGATTTACTGAGAGCTAGATATGCTACACATTTTTTAGCTTTGTAATAGGCAAGTACTCACATAGGCTCTACTTAAATCACCTCTATGGACACATTACAGACTCTTCATTAGTTTTTGGGTGGGTCTATTGCCATTGGGTTGCAATTATTCCACAGTGTATAATTCGAAGAAAAAAGAAAGAAAGAAATACCTGCAATGTATATCCTGGCTCACACTGAAATGACAAAACATCATTCACCATATATCTATCTCCTGATTTGATCCCATTGCTAGGAATTACTGGTTCTGGACAGGCAGCAAGGCCTACAGCTGAGGGAAGTAAACACAAAGATTGAAAAAAACACAGATAAGTGGAAAACAGCTCTTCATTGATATTCTCTGCTCTAATGAATTCTTCCCATAGCATTGGTTTAATAAGAGAACATGAATTAAAAAATTATTTCAACATTAAACTGAAATTTTGTTTAAAATACAGTCTTTTTCAGGACTGTTCTGTAGAATACAAATGGTATGACTGAAACACAAAGATTATATGCTGTGACTGTATCAATTATTATGTCATGTTGCTATCACATACTATGCCATTTTATTGTCTTCAACCAGTATGGTAATTCTAGTATATTAAACAATCTTTTTATTTTTCCCCTTGTGAAGGATATGGAGAGCGAAAGAGGGAATACGCATTATGCGTATTCTCTCTTTTCAGCAACAGGTAAGAACAACTACTGAGGTTAGGCAGTAGAGCCTTTTGGAAAAGCAGCTAAAGGCCAAGGGTGTTCCTTATTTTTAGACAATTATATTGACTATGAGAAGATCAGACAACTACAATTTAGTACTCTTAACCTAAAACTAAATCTTTGCATAGGTATGTCAGGAAAGTATGTTCTTAACTGTTTTTAAACCAGGTGTTAGCAAACAGATAATTAGTTTTACAAAAAGTCTCCATGATTAGTAATTTCTCAGATGTGTTCACCTAAATTTGGCAATCTGAAGTATTAGCTTCTGCTTTTTGCCAAGTGCATATCATTGATCTTGGTTTTCCTTGGATGTTTATCTAAGGAGTTTGTTAGTCAGTACAACTGAAAAATGAATACAATCTCTGCTGTATAAGCTAAAATGCTCCAAATAAACAAGACAGTTGAGAAACTGCTGATTGGATTCAATAATTCTGTGCTTTTAAGATATTCTTTGCCAACAGAAGAACCAGAATTAACTTGTTAATTTATGGTCGGAAGACAGAATTTCATTCCTTTTATAATATTAAAACCTTTATTTGAAGTTAAAAAAATGAATTAAAAATGTATAATCCTCATTTCTGAAGTAATTTATTAATTAAAAAAGTTTACTACTGAAACATAAAGATGTAACTGCCATATTTTATTAAAATATGATCTGTAGAAGCCATAATATAATCAAAAATACATTCACAATGTGTGAGAATAGATCTTTAGAATTTAGTAGCACAAAATTCTGTAAAAATCAGACAAAAATAATACTTTTCTAAATGTGATAGTGTGTCCTTCAGTTCACTTGTGTGAAAAAATAACTGACTAAATGCTACAACTCTCACTGTCTTTTTATGAAATCTAACCCCTTTGGTGACCATAAGTGCACTTGACAGAGTGTTAAGTACAGAAATTACATGATATTTGGCTTTACTCTGATATCTGACATTATGGAGTCTGTTGTTCCAGATGGCTCATCATGAAACACTATCTAATATTATTCACTGAGACCCTAGTCTTTCTACAGAAATATATTTTTTTTCAGATAATGTTGCTTACATATTTTGATACAGACAGGGTTTTAACTTTATGCCCTAAAGCTTTATGTATCTGTTGTTCATCACTCAAATATAAATTACTTACAAATCTTAAATACACACATCAGATTTTTGTGTTTCACACTTCACCCACTTTCAGCCCAAGGTTAGGTTAAAGTAAATATATTTTTTATTAATGAAGCACACAGAAGTCTGGAATAATTATTATGCTTTCACCTGAAAAAGTGATTAACAAGCATTTGGGTTTTTTTTTTTTCTTTTGTGGAAATATGTTTCATAATCCTGTATGTTCACTGTCCTGTGACCTTGAGTATTACATGAAATTCAGCAATATTCTAAATATTCCAAAAATCCAAGTCTGTTCTCACTTATTCTGATGTAAATTGGAAATAATTGCACAGGTATAAATGCAGTTTCATTAAGGACAATGTTATGTATCTCCTAGGCTGAAAGTTGTATACCTGCATTATTGGGAAGGAAGGAAATAAACAAATGTAGCTTTCTTCCCTCTCATGAAGAGGATTATGCACAAAGCAAAGTGCATAAATATGTGACTATTCTGAATTTCAGGAGTTCAGCAAGTGTGTATACTAGTTCATGCCTTACTGTATTCAAGTAAATTAGTGTTTTTACTTTGCTTTAGGAATTTGTCAGCTGAAATTCAAACATTACTGTTAGTGAGACACATGGTCCTTATGGTTGTTACTCACCGTAGCAAACACTACATTTCACTTTTTTTCAGGAATGAACAGTGATAATGGCAAGCCATTTTAATGCTGAGTGACAGCTATCAAGGTATAAAGTGCCGTCTTCATAATAATTGATGCAAGAGTTAGTAAACCAAATATTTTCTAACTAACATAAAGAATTATTTCATAGTGGCAAGCTACAGGATCTCCCTGAATTAACTCCTTTATGTACTGGAATGCATAATTTAGAAAAATATCTAAAAGTGCTTTAAAGATTTTCAGCCATTTCTACCATGGACTTTACAAATTTTGATGTTCTACCAATGTCACCCACTTTTAAATGATGTTATGGTGACTTTCTATGAGAACTGGGGACTTTGTGTGTGGTCATTATGTTCCAAGTAGGCACGAGGATACCATCATTAACTTCAATGCTTTTGGTTTTGTTGCAGTTTCCTACTATCATTCTTTTGGTTAACCACTCTGTATTCTGCAACACCATAAATGTATTCATGTCTGGAAAATTTCTTTGAGTATAGGTAATCAATCCCAAACAATCCCAAGCACAAGTACAGGCTCGGTGGAGAGTGGATAGAGAGCAGCCCTGAGGAGAAGGACTGGGGGGTACGGGTGGATGAAAAGCTGAACATGAGCCGGCAGTGTGCGCTGGCAGCCCAGAAAGCCAACCGTCTCCTGGGCTGTATCCAGAGAAGTGTGGCCAGCAGGTCGAGGGAGGGGATTCTGCCCCTCCACTCTGCTCTGGTGAGACCCCACCTGGAGTGCTGCGTCCAGCTGTGGAGCCCTCAATATCAGAAGGATATTGACCACTTGGAGCGAGTCCAGGGGAGGCCACAAAGATGCGCAGAGGGCTGGAGCACCTCTGCTATGGGGACAGGCTGACAGAGTGGGGCTTGTTCAGCTTGGAGAAGAGAAGGCTCCAGGGAGACCTTATTGCAGCCTTCCAGTACATGAAGGGGCTACAAGGAAGCTGGGGGGGACTTTTTACAAGGGCCTGTAGTGACAGGACAGGGGGTAATGGGTTTAAATTGAAAGCAGGGAGGTTGAGATTAGATATCAGGAAGTAGCTCTTCATGGAGAGGATGGTGAGGCACTGGAACAGGTTGCCCAGAGAAGCTGTGGATGCCCCATCCCTGGAAGTGTTCAAGGCCAAGCTGGAAGAGGCTTTGAGCAACCTGGTCTAGTGGAAGGTGTCCCTGCCCATGGCAGGGAGGTTTGAACAAGATGATCTTCACTGTCTCTTCCAACCTAAACCATTCTATGATTCTATGATACTAAATAGGTGTTATCTGCATCCACATAAACCGTCTGTTCCAGCATTAAGTGAAGGGTAACATCCGATTTCAGGAGTTCAAAACACAGTACATACACTGTTGTTTACAAATTTGAGATTCCAGTGTTCAGACACAAAGGAATCAAGATTTATTTCTCTATTTCCTTTCCCTTCTCACTCTTGAATAGAAAATGAATTTAAAAAGTATCTGCTCCACACTCCTCATTATTAAATAAGTAAGAATCTAGTAAGGATATTGTAATTAAAGTGCTTACAGATAGAAATGTACTTGCTAAATTTTGTGAATCTAAATTTGAGTTTCACTTTCTGTCTACAAGAAATCTGTATTTTGGTTGAACTCAGTATTCATATATGTTGAGAGTTACAGGCCTGCACTCTTAGATCTGTATGAATAAAATTACTTTTGCAGTTTTTTTCTGACTCACATGAACAGTTTTATAAACGTGACTGCATAGAAATACTAATACAGAATTTAAATAGACTATGATCAAAAGAGTATCTTCAAAGTAATTTTCTGTGCAACTGTTAGAGACGGTATTACACTACATTTTTTATCTTTAACAGATTCTAGTAACTTGGTAAAAATTTTCTTTCTGCTAGCTGTTTATACTTTGTATAATACTTTCTATACACTATTTCTTTGGTGTGGTGATAGAACTTATAATAGAGAATATTCTAACAGGATATCACAAAACACTTTGCAAAACACACTCATAATTGACTTCATTTGATATACCTGACATTACGAAGCAATATTAACTCACCAAAAGCAAAGAGAAAGTTGGAAATGGAATCAAATACTATTCTGAATCCTCAAACCCATCATTCTAATCATTACTTAATACTAGCCTAGTTTAGTTAAATAACAAGTTTAGTTAGAACTGGTCCAATAATCTAAAGAATGTTCGAAAAAACCCAAACAAATTCCAGTATTGGGGGATAAACTAGAGAACTTAAATATTCTGAGCCTCTGAAATACATTAAACCAGATTGTATGTGAAACGTCAGTAATAGAAGCAAAACATGTTAAACGTCAAGTCCAAGCAATCAAAAAAGGACAAGGATTGCTTAGTGCATGTTCTTCAGAGCTCAGCTTCTGCTATGCAGTACAAAAGAGAACACATCAATGTCAAGAATGATAACCCTCTCCCTGACCTTCTTCCACTTACTGCCTGCTAAATACTTTCTTGGCTCCACAGTGGCATAAGACAAATATGCCTCACTTCCATAATTATATACATGTCTACAATTACTTCAAATTCTGTCCAAACATCACTGCCATTGCTGGCAGAAAGAAAATCCTTGCTGGCATATCTGACAATGTGAATGCCCATTAGTGTCCTTTTCAGAAAGCTGCAAACTGAACAACACAAGAATTTCTTGACAGCTTGACCAAAAGTCATCAGACTTTCTTTTTTCAATTCCTCCCTCCCACCCCTATGTGCCTAACTGAAACATATTGTTCTTTATTATATTACAAACATCAATCTGGAGTGAATTGTTCTTTCCATTTTGATGATGATGT